GTTTTTTTTTTGGCTCTCGGCCCCAGGAGGGTTTAAGGGGGGTTGGCCCCCCGGGGGTCCGGGTTGGGGTCGTTTTTACCCCCGGAGTTTTTTTTCTCCCCCCCAAAGGGTGGTGAGGGGGCGCGTCTCAAGAAATTGTGGGAGGATTTTGGGGGTGGGGCCTTGTATTCCGCGGGGGACCGCGTGTTTTTTTTTTTTTAAAAGAGGGGGGACCCCTTCTGCGGGCAGACGCCCCCGTTTTTAGGGGGGGGGGGGGGGGTTGCGGCTCTGGTGGGTCTTGGAAGGGGAGAGGGCCATATAAGAGTGTCTTTCGATTGACAACTTCGGCAAAAACTGCGCGCGTGGTTTCTTTTTTTACACGTATTCCATATGTATCTGCGATGCGAAAAGGCAGGGCGAGGCGGATGGAGAAAGAAGTGCCGAGAAGGCCATGGTGGAGGGGAGGGACGGGAGGACGAAAGAAGGGCGAGGAGGACGAGCGGCCCGCACAGACCGCGAGCAGACAGCGCCTGCTGGCCATTTCGAGACATTCGCCAAGAACGCTAGCTACATGGGAGGGCTTCGTGAAGGATGGATTGAAAAACATTCGAACAAAGAATTCAACGAAAAGAACTCTCGAACAAAGAAGAGGCGACGGGAGGAACCGGCGGAGGATGCAGTGACGTGAGACACACACACACACACACACACACACACACACACACACACACACACACACACACACACACACACACACACACACACACACACACACACACACACACACACACACACACACACACACACACACACACACACACCGCTCACCCACGCGCACTGGGCCGTGCACTTTGAATGCCGTGGGGCTCCTGTCGTCAGACGTGGAGACGCGAGGGTTGCCCCCCCCTTGCCCCACCACCTCGTGTGTGTGGAGAAGTTTACCTTACCTTACCTTACCTTATCTGGAGGCTCTCTCTGGACTGGGGTACACCGAGAGGGATACAACTATCAGCCGCTTGTCTCGACGACTCGGCCATGATCGGTCAGCTGCTTGTGCTCGCCAGTCTGCTCGCCACAACGTCGGCCTTTGCGTCGTCCCCAACCGATCCGTGCGTCGCGTCGCCGCCGCCGACGGCGCCAACGGCGCCTCACAAGAAGACCGCTTTCATCCATGTCGACATCCAAAAGTGCTTCACGAACGGGCCCCCGAAGGGTATCGATAACGACTACGCCTACTGCAACCCGCCGGCAACCGGAGGTACCGACAATTGCACCCGTCTTGGATCGCTCGGCGTGGCAGAGGGCGCCACGATCGTCCCGGCGGTCAACGACCTTCGCCACTCGTGCCTGTTTGAGGGCGTGTTCCGTTCCCAGGACTACCATCCAGCGGATCACATCAGCTTCGCCTCGCGCCACTTCGGCGAGACGCCCTTCTCCTTCGCCGACGGCCCCCTACCCTTTGTCGGCTACCCGATCGAGTTGGCGTGCACCAAGAACTCGACGGAGGAGATCAAGGACGTGGCGTGCTGCCTCGTGGACGCGGCGCAGCCGGCGTGCATGATCGGCGCGAACGGGACGACCGTCTGCACGCAGGACACCGACCCGGAGAACCCCGCGTGCTCCGCCTGTGTTGGCCCCGACGCGAACTGCACCAAGATGATGCAGGGCATGTGGACCGACCACTGCGAGCAGGTGTACCGCATCCCACGCCGGAATTCTCGACCACCCCGTCGCCCCCCCCCCCCCCCCCGCACCTCCCCCTCCTTTCCCTTAGGTCTACGTGGTCGAGGACGCGACCGCATCGATCGGAGTGCCCAACGGCGACAACACCACCTCCGTCGACACGGCCAAGGCGGACATGCTGCTACAGGGCGTCAAGTTTGTGTCCACCGAGGAGGTGCTGACGTCCACACGCACGCACACACTCACACTCACACACACACACACACACACACACACACACACACACGCACGCACGCACGCACGCACACACACACACACACACACACACACACACACCTCACCCACGCGCACCGGGCCTTGCACTTTTAATGCCGTGACTGTCTTCTAGACGTGGAGTCGCGAGGGTCGCCCCCCCTTGTCCCACCACCTTGTGCGTCCGTGTGGAGAAGCTTACCAATATCCTTACCTACCTTACCTTAGGTGCTGACGTCGGAGTGCCCAGCTGGGACGGAGAACATGTGGACGTACGCGCGCAACCGGCGCAAGTCTCGCCGCTTGGTCGAGAAGTATGGCAAGGTGGTCACCCTCTGGTGAGAACTTAGAGCCGCCCTGTTGATTTCTGCGTGCCCGCAGCGCCACACCACATGCAGCCCCGATCGATGGCATCATGATCATCGCGCCGCGGACGGCTCCTGTGACCTCGGTGGCTCTCGGCAGTGTAGGACCCATGGCGTGCTCAGTCAGCCGTGAGGCGGAGGCAGGCCGAGTGAGCGCGAGCTGCGCGGGAGGCCATGTCCCGCGCACCGGCGAGCGAGCAGCACGAAAGAGTGCTAGTCGCGCATCGCGAAATCCGTTTCAACGCAGGGAGCTGTGTACTGTAGAGTTTTTTTGAGAGCGCCTTCGTTGTTAATAGTATTTTATGTATGTAAAGAGTGAGTGCAGAAGATTGGACAGGGGAGGGACGCGGCCAGAAAGTATACCAAAAGGAGGGCTACACGAGGCCCTCTACGCTAGGGTGCCGGCGCCCTACTGGGCTGCGTGGAGTTTTTTCAAGAATTTCAACCCACCCGCGCTAGGTCTCGGGCGGCGAAGGGGTCACTCCCGACGACCTCGGGAACTAGCCGGGGCAGTCGGAGAAGGGGCAACTCTGTGCACTGACGGTCGGCCGTCAGAAAACACGCCTCCGTGGCTCGGGTTACACCAATCCTCGCTACCCAACGCGGCCAAAGGATATCCACCTCAAGAAAAAAAGAAAGAAAGAAAGAAAACAGACACGCCAAACGAGGGATGGGACGAGGACAAGGTCCCCACCTGCACGAGCAGGATTTTGGAAGGACGATCAGGGGGACAGGTGGGGCTCTCCTGCTCCTGACAAGGGACACGACAGGCTCGCAGCGCGGTGCACGGTGGAATCCCAACTCCACTGGCGGTCTCATCTCAGTCAAGAACCTCGATCTTTTTTTTCTGCGAGGGCTTTTCTCCGCGGACCATCGATCGGCGATCGGACCGATGCCGCCGCCCTCCACGGCCTGCTCCTCGCCGGCTGACCTCGCCCCGCCCGGGCACTGGTGCAACGGCACGCAGCTGGTCCGCTCCTCGGAGCCCCCGCAGACCCTAGTCCGACGCGGACTTAGCGGTGCCGGCGACGCAGACGGCGCAGACGACAGCCTGTTCCCCTCGGCTGCCATCCACGGACACGGCTCTCGCCGTCTCGAGGCTGGCGGGTGCTGCTGCCAAATCTGCCAAGGGGAGTGTGCGACCAGGTCACTCCTCACTCGTCAGACGCCTGCAGACACCTCCTCGCTCGCTTCGGTTCCCGCCCTCCCCGCCCCCTCGCTGCCTCCGCCTGCCGCTACCCACTGAACTCACCCCCCCCCACACACAGCCTTTCGTACGACTGCAACACCTGCACGGGCGCGGCGACTCCTTGGTGCGGGGGGTGCTACTGGAAGGCGAAAAGCCACTCTGAAGACAACGGCGCGGGCCGCTAGAAGTCTGTGTCCCAACCAGCGCTGGCGAGGGCACGTGCTCAGCTGCACTGTCCTCGCAGCCCTCGCACTCACGCGGCGCCTGGAATGCACTGCACAGTACCGCCTTCCCGTCCTGACGTCGGCGTACTCTCCACGCAGGCGTGTGCTACCCGTCGCCGCCTGCGCCGCCGTCGCCGCCCTCGTCCCCGCCCTCGCCGCCCGCGTCGCCCTCGCCGCCGCGTCCTCTCTTTCTTCCGCCGCGCACCGTGACACCTCCGCCACCTCCGTCGCCGCCGCCCTCCCCGCCGCCCGGCGAACCCTCCTCCGCCGTCCCCCGCTCCTCTGCGTTTCGCTTCTACGACAGCGACACGTCGCTAATGCTCCCGTCGGTCTCTGTCGCGGTGAGAGTAGCCGAGAGTTGCCGAGAGGAGCCGAGAGGAGCCGAGAGGAGCCGAGAGGAGCCGAGAGGAGCCGAGAGGAGCCGAGAGGAGCCCAGAGTTGCCGAGAGGTAGCCGAGAGGAGTAGCCGAGAGGCAGCCGAGAGGTAGCCGAGAGGAGCCCGAGAGGAGTAGCCGAGAGGTAGCCGAGAGTGTAAGCCGAGAGGGAGCCGAGAGGAGCCGAGAGTAGCTAACCTAGTCCTGCTTAGCTCATTGGACATGAGCAGGCGGCCCTCGTCCTCGTCTTTCTGATGGTGGGGTGGTGCCGCCGCCGGGGCGTGTTCCGACGGTGCCAGCTGCGCCGCCGCGGCCTTGCGTGCTCATACCCGAGTCTTGGCCCATCCATGGTCATCCCCTCGCCAGGCAACGGCTGCCAGGGGCGGGAGAGGCATGGCTGCGTGACCCAGCCACTGGGCGGACTACGAGTAGGTACCAGCTGCGCCGCCGTCCCCAGCACGCAGCAGAGGGCTACGGCGGCGCGTACCCCTCCACCAACCCACGCGAGCTCAAGGCGCTCTACGCCACCCTCCCCTACCCCATGGTACCCGAACCCACCCTCCCCTACCCCACGGTACCCGAACCCACGCGAGCTCAAGGCGCTCCTCGAGCTGCTCATTTGTCAACCCGATTGTTGTGAGGAGCGCCCAGTCTCATCCTCCCGCCAGTAGTACTGCTCCGCCTCAATGCCTCCCTCGAGCGCCAGTAGCCTCGCCGTGGGCAGCGTCTCTCTTCACACGGCTCCCTCTGAACAGGCCTTCCTCGAGCTGCCGACACGTACCATGCCCCAGCCGGCAGCAGCGGGCGGGCGCGAGGCTGGCGGCGGCGAGGGCGGCGGCTGCGGCGGCGGTAGCGAGACAGGCGTCGCCGGCGCCAAGGGCAGGGCTGGCGAGGGCGGCGGCGAGGGCGGCGGCGAGGGGGGCGGCGGCGTGGCTGCCCCAGGCGATGGGGCGGAGTGTGCGATTTGCATCGGTCCGTTCCTGCCGGGGGAGGTGTCGTTGAGATGCGGCCGAGATGCAGTCCGAGATGCAGTCGAGATGCTGCCGAGATGCAGCCGAGAGGCGAGACCCCTTGGCCTCGCGGCTATGCATCAGTATCTCGTCGTCTATCTTGGACACCGTCCGGGCTAGGCTATGTCACATTGCTGTCTGCTAGCACTGCTGCTACTCCTGTTCTGATTGGCTTCGCCGTTGTTGGCCCCAGGTTCTAACTAGGTCGCCCTACCCAGGTGCTCACCCGGCTCCCCTCGTGCGGCCACGAGTTCCACCAGAGCTGCATCTGCCACTGGCTGGCGAGCAAGCACGTGCACCGGCCGACCTGCCCCCTCTGCAAGGCGCTCCGCTATTGTACTCATCATACTGCTGTGAATAGCAATGAGCCTGATAGCCCCCTCTGCAAGGCACTCGATTATTAGCATCTGTACTACTACTGTTACTGCTGCTACGCCGACTACTGCTACTATCAGCGTGAATGTGAGTGATGAGAGTAGTTGTAAACAGCACGCAAGCGCGTCATCATGCTACCCCTCTCGCCCGACCCCCCACCGGTTCTAGATGAGGTGAGCGGGCGGGAAAGGTTCGAGCTAAACATGTGAATGGGGTCTGAGAACTAACTCGGGGGAGGTGCATGAAATCGGACAGTCTTCGACGTGGTAGCGCTATTCTGCACACATGGTTTCTCTTTTATCGATCAACACTTTCGATAGAACGAAAGTAAAATCGTTCCGAGCCGAAAACCCCGGCCATTGCCATGGTACGCAATTGGGCTCGGAGTTTTTTTGATTTTTTG